TTGAAATTAATCAAAATTACTGTTCTACTTAATACAAAAAAATCAAATTAAACACTATGAAAAAATATTACAATAATGGCCAGCAATAAATAATATAAAGCAAGAGTAAAGCATACAAAAAAATCATACATTACAAATGACAAGTGAGCTGAATACGTGATTCAAATTAAACTAAAAGGGCACTCAGTACAGCATATACCTCTGCTATGCAGCATTGATTATATTCAGCTCTCAAAAATTATGAAAATGTGTCCATATGTCCATAGTTATCAACAGACATGGACCGTTTTTGGCAGGACAATGAGGAATAATATTCTACATATGTCCACCAAGTTTCATCAAAACTTTCGTTATCTTGATGTGACCTTGACCTTCCAAAAACCTTTATCTACTGTATTGTAATGTACATGATCCAGTGGTATAATTATGAAAATGTCATGTTTTTATAACATTTATAAAAAGTATCCAAAACACTATGAAACATTTACAGAACAGGCAACATATTTTACTAAGAAAGATTGCCTGCAAATACCCATCTATACAGTCATGCCAGTCTGTCTTATTCATGTCTTGACAAAAAAATCCAACTGTCACTTCAGTTCTATACAATTTATACTCATGAAGGAACATCCTACAAATATTGAAGGATGAATGGATAACACTAGTTCACTTTTCCCACCTATATTTCTTGTTGAACAATGAATATCATACAAGGGTATTCCTTGTATTTTGTATTGGAAAATACTAAGAATATGATCAACTATGATGTTAATAAAAACAATATTTGGCCCCTGCTGAAATGGAACATCTAAATCCCACTTGTTACTAGGTAACAATGAAGAAACATCTACATGTAATATGACTAAATAACATTAACTCTTAAAAATAAAAGGACAAGATGGTCAAGGGTAACACTGAAACAAATGATTGGCTTGGCCAGATAAATCTTTATTCATACTACAGGTAAAATTGGTATCACTCCCTTCTGTTCACTTTCTTTCCCCACATCTCAAATGCCTCCAAAGTTTTTTAAGGTAAATTTTTATGATTTGAAACTTTTCATTTTTCTAACAAATGAAACCCCTATGAACTGTTTTGGATGTCAGCATATACAGTATCCATAATATTTCACTGTGACCCAAACTCCCTCTGGATACAATTAATTAACCAACATATGACACTTAAATAATATAATGAATTTGTAGAGATAAATATGTAGCATTATACTTTCGCTCTACATAACCATGCTTATAAATGTGTACATCTTACCTCAAAGATAATCCAGAGTGTGGTAACTGAACACTGTCCAATGGTGTACATGGGTTATTTTATTTTAGGATTTTTTGCCTAGCAAGGGGGATAAAAAAAAAACCTTGAAATAGGACACAGTTCCACTTTTTGTATACACTTTTGGCTTCAATAACCCATGGTTGGCTACCTCAATTATCATAATTTTTTGAATGGTAACTAGAAACTGTCTAACAGTGTAGATCAGCTATATTTGTTTTAAGAATTTTGTCCAAAAGGGGGGTAAAAAGCCACTGTAATAGGGCACATTTCCACTTTTTTTTTATAGACTTTTGGCTTGCATCAGAGTTGGCTGGTTCAATTACAAAAATATTTGGTAAGGTAATTGGAGACTGCCCATTTAGGATTTTTTCCCAAGAAGGGAGATAAAAAAATGACCCTGCAACAAAACACATTTTAACATTTTACACACTTTTGGCTTTAAATTTAAAGACACAAGTACTTCATCAGTTAAATTAGTCAATTACTACCTTCCACAAAGCAGAGTATAGAATTAACATTTAATGAGGTCATAAGGGATTTAATAACAAAAGAAAGAATTGGAGCATTACATAATGATCTTCTTTTTAGAATTTTTGCTTCCTTTACAGGTACCCTCAGCTAGTTATTATAATTATGAAATGATAAAAAGTTGATTATGTTATACTAAAATGATTTTGGAACCTTACCATATCATTACAGTCCATGTCACTACACCTGGTCTTGCTCTATCTGACAATTATTCATCTTGACAACCCCCAATTCCTTAGTTCAGAAATTCTTTACAAACAGCATGATTATATTTCCCAATTGACATTTCAATTAAAACATTACCCTACTGAAATTTTACTGTATTAATTTATATGTATATGAATTTCCTTTGACACTTTTATTTAGAAATAAATAGTTATTATTATATATATATTCATATAATTGTCAACTTAGAGAGGCAGCATCAATTTCAAAAAAGTACTCATTCAATCCACCACACATTATGTTTGATCATTTCTGCACATTAATGTTCACGTACAATTTATCACGGTATTCTCATTTGTAAACTACTTCAGAGTTCAGCTTTCTTCAACATCAAAAATATTTAATTTATTTACACAACTAAGATATGTTTGCTATTTTAATCTATTATTAAAGAATAAGTCATCATATAATTATAAAATTAGTCATTTACACATACAGTGAAGTCAATAATCACAAAAGTACACAGACATACTAACTTCTTCAAATAATTGTACCAATACAGTAATTTAAAAAAAGGAAATACTCTATAATTTCCATCAAGACATCTGTGTGGAGTTCATCAACAGATGCTGGGTTAGCTAAGCCAACATCTTTCAACTTTGGGTCCATTCAATTTCAACATCACATATGCTCAGTAGTGTTTGCCTGTACACACTAGTTTAGCAATCATTCTATTTTTCAAATTCTTTTTTTATTTGATTAGTGGGTGCTAATGAATAATGGTTAATTTAGAGTTAATGCTAAGTTAGTTTAACTTGTCCACAAATTTCTAATTTTCCCAAAATGACTTTCTTTCACAATTTCTGATATTTTTCCTAAATCTAGCAATAAGATGTAGAAAAAATTATCTACCTACCTTACCATTATCAATAGCATACCCAAGCAAGTCATTTTTCATTCAGGGTGTTTTTAAAACATAGTTAAACAGATGCAAACATTCAAAAGTGGCACAAAGTTATGAAAAACTGATATTCACAAATAATTTATTTCTGTTGAAAATATTAAGATTCTTTGGCATCACTTAAAAACAGCCATACAAAAACAGTGCACTGTAAAATTCACTTGGAGGTTGCTGACCCATAAACTTAAGTTATTCTACAGAGAAAAGAAAACCACTGCCTGTTGGTACAAATACATAAGCCAAAACTTTGAGAATTTGAATGAACTGGAGATGTAGTAAATTGTCCCATAGAAGAACTTTAGGACAGTAGAGAAGCCAGTGTAGAAAGTAAAGAATGTAGATGGGTGACATCTACTCGAGATTACATGAAGTCTGGAATCCCCACAAAAATATACTGCCTGAAAAAAGGAGCTTCTTTGAGATCTCAAAGGGAAGACGTAGGAGGGCAATCTCCCTCCAGTAAAGCATCTCTCTCCAAATGATCCCAGCTAAAAACCAACTAAAATACCAAGGACACAGCAGAAATTGATAACCTGACCAGAATGGAAATCAACAGATGACAAAGATCCTCCAAAATTTGGACAGAGGATCTAAGATAGGCCTCAAACAACAGCTGCGTAGATGATAAAAAATGCAAAGCCTTTGTAATTAAGACACAAATTCTGGAAAACTGAAATTGATTAAGAGGAATGGGGGAATCTTGTTAAGAGACCCAAATAAGAAGTAGAGGGTCTAACCTCTGAGAGACCAAATAAGGATACTCCAGGAGATGGAAAGACGAGGCATGCTGATCCAATAAACAAAGAGGGCAAAACATGGCAGCTCTTCCTGCAAATGATCATGTTTGTCCACATCTTTTTATGAGGCAAGCTAGCAAAAAACACAGAAAAGAAGTGATTCCTTATATAACAACTTCTAATACAGAGAAAAGTCAGTGCATTTTGGTAACAATGCATTTCAACAATGGATTTTATGTCATGTTGCATGGCAAAAAAAGTATGCAGGTTATACTTTTGTGTTAAAATGGGTCCAGAATACACACACACACACACACTATTAACCTAATAACTTGACAAAACCCAAGTACTTTCCCTGGTAACATATAAAATAACTCAAAAGAAAACACTGGAAAAGTATTAATAGCACTGAAGAGAAACCCACAGTAAACACGTAAGACCATCTTCATACTTTTTCCATTGAGAAAAAGTGAATAAGAAAGAATAATGGGGGAGCTTATATACAGAATGGGTATAGGGGGTGGATTGATGTAGGTGGAGAGAGTCACAAAATTAAATTAAGTAGGGGTGATACAGTGGGGTATAAAGGCTGGAGCAAGTGAGGTAGAATTCATACCAATGCTTAGATGGGCAAAGAAGGGAACATTTCATTGGAATAAAGCTAAAGTGTAAGGGGAGGTGTGTTTTGGAATTAACAGTACCATAGAATATACATAACAAAATAAATCTCTCTGTATGTTGTCTTATGACAACTAAGTTGGAAGATGCATCCATCAACAATACTTAAGGTTTAGTTGTTAAAAAGGCAACTTGGTGTTTTTACATCATACTTTAAAGTGGTGTAAATGTAATGACTATGAAATTTCCTAAATTAAAAATTGCATATGGGTTGCATGATTACTTGACTACTAGCTGATGTAAACAATTGTTACACTGCAAAGTGGGAATTCTAATAAAAAGAGATCATTAAACAAAAGAGCTGGTTTGAATATGATTAATAGGGTGATACAAAGTAAAGCATAATCTTACAGGTACTTATAGTGTAAGTACCATAGGATAAATCATGGTGTGGTAAAGTGCTGTAATATTTTAAACAGTTTTAACTATATCTAGTAATTTGATTAAAGATGACATTTTAAATCACATATATTACTACATATACTAACCACAAGCTATCATGTTTAGCAATTTGTAAAAAAAATAAAAATAGTATTAAAAAAACAACAGAACTTTTCAATCCACAACAAAAACTGTAAATCAATAAGCATCATTTTTTAAAATAATGTTTAAATCAATAAAAACCAAAATTTTTAACTTACTTTTATCATTATCAAGATTTTCCAAATCACTTTTTGAATCATTCATTTCTTGTGCTATTCGCTTGTTATTTTTTAATTTGAAAGAACCACTTCGACTAATCTTTGTATGTTCCTCTGATTTGCTCCTCCTTCTCACTCTTAACAATCGTACTGACTGACTGCGCTCCAAATTACCAGAAGATTTTGATGCTTCTAAAACCTGACCTTCAGAGCCATAACAATTTGTATTTTCATCCACTTGAACACAACATGTGCGTGTATGTTTACGTTCTTCACTACTAAAAGAATCATAACCATGTAACTTAATTATGGCTTCTTCATTTGTCATCAGAATTGGTCGTTCATTAACAGTGGTTTGTGAAGTCAGAATATAAGTGTGGGGTGTAACAACACAATAGCCTTGGCCACTGTGATAGAGTTTTCGATCACGTATCAGACTCCCAAGTGTTTTATACAGCACCTCATCTTGAGGTATAACCATTTCAGGAAAATTAATTTGGAGTCTTTCTGATATTACTTCAAGAGTTGCATTGACTTGTTTTGCATTCAGTTCAAATATAACATTACACAGGGCTTCACCTAATGGTGCAAATTGGACTTGAGATACTGCATCCATTTCCACACAAGGAACATCCCCTGTAAAAGAAAATATTCATAATCAAAAATGATTCACATTAAATTAAAGTAAATACAGGCACCTCTTTAAACCCCTTTCTATATAAGTCACTGAGTTACATTCAAAATTAATTAACCCTATCACCCCAAGTACCCTTTACTGCGCATGACACAAGGTTTTATTGTCTTACATTCAAAATTTTATTAAATTGCTTTTTGTTTATGTTAAACCAATTAGAATAGCATAAAATCTTAGCTAATAATACATATTTTCATCTACTAGTATCATTTTCAAGGATTTTAAACAAGGGTTACTTTTATCTCTTTTACCGCAAATGTTTACCAATGAAACTGTTGAGATTTCTTCAATAACTACGAAAGGCCTTTTTACAATAATATTTTTCTTATAACCTTATTTAGAAAATGCTCTTACATGAATTTGAGAATTACATGCATTTTACACACCGGTCTGTACAGACTATGTGAAATCAAATTTACTCTTAAAACAATAATTGTTTTGTATGGTAATAGAGTACAATTATAAAATATTTCAGGACAACTTATAGGCTGCAAAACTTATCATTATTGGTATAAGGAATTGATAATTTTGATGGAAAACACTTAACAGTAAAGTTGGGAAATAAATCAATTAACCAATATAATCAATAAGCTGATATGATTAAACTGATTAATGTCTCAAAAATAATCAACTATTCCAAATTAGAACAATTTTGATTATTTCAACATAAATGAAGGAAGTTGCTGGTGATATAAATGTTTTGACTGTTCCTGGCTATGAAAAGGATCTAATATTTTACAAAAGAATTTAGATGATTTGGTAAAATAAGAATTAAGTTCATTGAAAAAGTGAGGCCTTGTACAGTTATAATTTACACTCATAAAATATAATGCAGGTTAAGCACTTTGTTCAAGGTATTTATGAAATGTGCTAATGACCTAGACTATTGCTGTAATTTATTGCTTTTGAGAGGAGAATTACAGCTCAAGTGGGTATGAACTACAGTAATAAAACCACAAAATTAACTAAAGATATGAGAAAGGGTTAACAGTTGAAACTGTGAAGATAAGAATATCATTAATCCAGCAAAATTATCCATCCAAAGAAAGAAAAAAAAAGGGCATTGTTCATTTTATTTCATGTTTGTCAGCTATTTGTTTTAATATACATTGGTGATGTTGTTACAGTTAGTGTTAAGAGTAGAGAGAATAACAGATAAAATGTATAGTTTTACCAAAAATTTAAAAAACTTTTCATTTTAAAATTGGAAGATCTAGAGATTATACAAATGATATATGAAAATTGGATGATGAAACAATATATTTCTATTCTTAGCATAAAAATCACCTTCCACACAGATTGACTCTGTAAAGCCTTTGGAAATTCGCAGACAAATCTTTAGTAGAAATATATTATACGAAATTCAGATTTTTTTTTATGTACAACATATTTGTAATGTTTGTTAAAAGCTTACACAATGTATAACACAGTAAATATAAACTTTATTTATCACTTAAGTAGCCAAAGCATAGGTAATAGATGAGATCAGCCAGTTGCCTTCCATCTGATCATCAGGTTAAGTCTTTCAGCACAGGCTCGGTCCCTGGGACCAACCTCCTAACCATTTTGTGCTTATTATACTTTTCATGCTCCAACTTTTAAATTAGTAAGTGAATGTTAATAAAATTTGGCACATTATCAGTAAATATTACAATGCTTTCATTTGCAAAATATAATTTTTTTTATTAAATCTTAAGGTTTGTAAAGGAATGCTTTTCTCATGCCTTTTTTTCTTTTCTCATGTTGCCTATCTAACATCCAAAGTAATTTACATTTTAAGATTAAAAATACTTTTATGCATCAGAAAAT